TGCCTCAGTGGTTCATGAACATTTCATAATGTATGGGCTCTTATTTATCCTATAGACTTGAGTCAGATCCTTGAACTGTCAGTTCAGTGTCAAAGCTTTCCTGACATAGTCTTAAAATAATGGGACATAAAGTCACTTTTATGTGTCAGTGGGATGCAGGTAACTGTTTACTGCATATATAGAGGGTTGTTTAGTTTTGCAAATATAATATGGGGGGCAGGAGGAAATACAGTTTAAGGGTAGGGGGGAAAATGCAATAAAGAAAGAAATCTGCTACCAACAAATTACTTATTTTAACCATGATGCATAATTCACAACATTCCATCATAATAAGCTCAGTTTAAGCTTTCTAAAACTCACGTTCTATGTGTCAACGCTGCTAACACTGGATGATCTTGCTTTGACAACAGATGAAAATGAAGCCATTTTCTCTATGCTTTTAGAATCAGTTGGTGCTGGGAAAGGGATTGGGATGAGAGTTCAGTAAGCCATAATAATAATAACTCTGCCATGGGAATCCAAGGACAAACTAGGTCCAGAGCTGATAACATTTGGAGAGCTGGGGAGAAAGCCCATGCTTCAAGGGAATTGGGGGATGTGATTTATGACTGATATTTGGGGGTAGGAATTGTAATTTGTTACTTTATATCCAGGAGAGGGGAAATTAGTTTTTGAGTTCAACTATGTAGTGCCAATACCTTGTTTCCCGAATAAAAGATTCTTTAATGAAAACAATGCCTCGAAGTTCTTCTGTTTCATCTGTCGGAGCCATGACATTAACCCTAAAACTAAATGCAGATAAAAAGAGAGGTCCCAAACTGGACCTGCCACCGCTCTGCCCTCCTATGACAGCAGGAGATCACTCTGTCAACCTATTCTTTGCAGTTCTGATACTTCGTAAGTTTCTTCTATAATTATTATATGCATACCCAAAATGGGCATGCATATAATAACAATAACAATGTTAAATGTAATCATATAATTCATGTATCTTCTGTTTTGGACTCAGCCCATCCATTTGTAATTTAGTTGGATATACTGAAATAGGAATCAGTTACCCAAAATTACAAGCCTCTAATCATATGAACTATATGAACAATCCCTGAGTCAAAATCTTGATCCAAAGCAATCTTGGTCTGAAGAGTTTTCAAGAGCCACTAAAAAGAGAACTTCTGCCCCAAATAAATAAATACAGATTAGAACCTAATGCACTCACCACCACCCCACACACACATACATTGAGAGATGCTTTGGCAATTTAAACTTTTCCTAACAAGGGAAATACATGACAGAAATAACTTTTAATATACATTTTTACTTAATTTCTATATATTTTTTAACCAAAGACAAAAGAACCAGATTCATAAAAAGAAGAAAAAGTAATAGTCTTTATCTGAAGAAGCAACCTTCCATTTCTTTCAAGCAGTTATCCCCATGCATGGCTACAGACACCAGAATGGGTGCCTTATTGATCTGCCCAGTATACATTGTGGTGCCTTTTGTAAAGTGTATAATGATACCTCATGAAATAAATCTAAATCTGAATGTGCTTATTTTTGAAGAATCGCATGCCAGGGAGTTGTTAGTATGTGGATTATTGTGTTTCCTTTAAAAATGTACATTTCCTGCCACTTAATATGATAGATAACAGCAAAGGTCATACACTGTCAGGAGGAGATATAAATTTGGACGTCCTGTTTAAAATTAATAAATGGTTTGTGTCTCAGAAGTGAGCAGTCACAGAGTAGCTATTGAACCTTTGAATGCTAATGTATCGTCCTTCCCCTTCTATGTAACTTTGGCTAGAGGGATGCATTTCTAGGATTGCCTTTTCATCTTTCCACATAAAGATGTCCGTTTGCCAGTATTTATATCTCCTTGTGTCTGATTTAATTGCAGCTAATTATAGATGGTGTGCATGACTTCAGTCATGTAAAGCATGAGTTAACTGAATATTTAAAGACAGCAAAAGAAGTAGAAGAGTATGATGTCACTGACATCCACTTCTATCACCTAGAAAATTGTAGCTCACAAGATCCAGTTATTTTAAATGGGATCAGGGGACTGTCTGTAAATTTATGATAGCAAGAATGTGCTTTTTTTAATATATAGAACCATTTCCAGATCTCATCAATGAATAAGTATTGCCAATTATGGAGCTTATGGTACATAAATAACATTTTAAAAAATCAAACATATATAAAATAGTATATATTTTATTTGTCTGGAATTTTGAAATAAAAAGTTATGAATAATTGTCATTATAGGAATTTTTTCTTTTATTAAGAATGGCAAAATCTTACCAAATCAGTTGACTTCTTGTGAGCTGATTGGATCAGAAGGATTCATTTTTTGACTTAATATTAATTCACATGAAACTGCGTGGAATTCTGTCAGCCAATAAAGTATAAATGCTAGCTCATTGTTTTGTTCCTCATTCTTGGAAAACTCTCACAATCAGACAACATCTTTCTGTTCTTGCTGCTGCTTTGCAAATCCATTTGTTGACTGTGCAAGGAAGGTAAGCTATTTGCTTCTTGTTGCCAAGATTTTATAAATTTTGATCCACAACATTAATGCAGTGCAGATCTTGAAAGGGATCCACTCCATTGAAATATTTTTTGTGAAGAGCCAAAGCACAGCCCTCTAATCAGAGATCAGAATAGCAGGCAAGCAAGGCAGACTCCAAAAGAGGTATTCATCATATTGAAGCAACAAGATGCATTTTTGTGAAGCAAAACCCCTCAGTAAAATGAACTGGCAGTAATCCCTAATTGTAATCCTCCATTTTTTTTATATAAGATTTGTTAGTTTTTTCTACTTTTCGAATAAATATAGCCATTGCCAAGGTCTTTGAAACCTTTAATTATTTGTGCTTTTTAAGTGTGTTACCATAAACAAATCACTGTCTGATTGCCTTTAAGATGATTGGTATCACCCTTGTTTGCAGGAAGATAAGCCACTCTGGGCAGCTGATGAACCCAATAGGTTTCCCGATAGATCTTGGATATTTTTTTTTCCTTGAGTGTTAGGAGAGTGATTTAGTGGAGGCCAGATCACCTTGGGTGGAAGTTTCAACTGATCCAGAATCCAGAATGCTTACAGTGAAGAACATGGCTAAATATTCCCATGTAACAGCCCTTCTTCCTGAGCTGATAGTTGTTAGGTTGCTTCTGGGTGTGATTCAAGGTGTTGATTGTTGTCCCTAAAGCCTTTTATGGTAAAGGCCCTGGTTATTTGAAGGATCACTTGTCCACCATAGCATCTACCCAGTTGGTTCAATCTGGTAGGATTAGTGCGATCCTTCAATTAAACAATGCTATCTATTGGGTACCTGGAATGTGCCTCCTCTGTAACAGTGCCTGCTATCTGGATCCAAATAGCCTCCACCATGAATTTTAAAAAGCCTTAAAGACCTGGCCTTAAAATCAGGCCTTTAGTGAGGATGGTTCTGGGTGATGTGACTCAGTTGTTCATTATAGCTCTTTTGTTCCTTGTTTTGTTTTTTATTTTTGTATGTTTTACTTACGAGCCACCCAATGTTGCTGGGAGTTGAGTGCTGTACAATTTAAATTATTTCTGGCTCCTTTACTTTTTTTTTCTTTTCCAGGTGTCATATTGCTTTCCTGAACTTCTCAGGCCTCCGGACTTGTTTTGTAGTATAACAGGATTAAATATTTCAGAGAGAATACTTTTAATTTTCTTTTCTTTTTTGTAATGTCCTGGGTGCTATTCATCTTATTTTAGATATCTGGAGTAGTTTTTTGTCAGATCTGGAGCATTGAACTCTGTCTATAAAATTCTCCATTTTGCTCACTTGCAACCATGTGATCTACTATTTGATTTTATATATTATTTTCTCTATAAGGCATCCGAGGCAGCTAGCCATTTTAAAAAAAAGGGTAAAAAAGACTCAAAAAGCAGGAAAGAGGAGTAATAGAGAGCAGTCCTGATAACATTTGAGAGGAATTTAAGTTTAATCTCTGTCATGGAGACTGGCTGAAGAACTGAACAATCCTGTACTCATCTTTCAGAACATGGATTTCCTAATAAATAAAGAATAATATTAATATATTTGCCAGCCTGTCATTGGTCTCCCAATCAGATATTCAGGGAGTTATAGTTGCAGCATTTATTGGGGCATCAGATTGGGGAAAGCTGAATGAGAACAATAATTTTATGACTGACATGTTGGAACTAAAATCAAGGGTTTTTTTGCAAGTCTGCATATATTCTTAGGAGGGCTTTTGGAAAAGAAATAGAGCCAATGACTAATTAATATTTTGTGTCCAATTACAGCATAGTCATCTTACTGGGAGCAGCACTAATACTGTCTATGTCTTTTAAACACTTATTTCTGTTTCTACATGAAATTGATAGTTAATCATCTTTCAAGCATACAGCAGGTTCAGAGAAAACATGGATAATGGAAAGTTTATAAAATCTCTGTCAATCTCGACTCTATATGAGAAATGATTCATTATAATGGGCCACAAGTGACAGAATGCCTCAGAATGGAAGCCTGTAATTAACTTCGCTTCATGTTTTATTGATAACATTTGCTATTTTCTCTGATCAGCAGTCATACATCTTGTAGAATGTGGCACCTTCTGGATATACGCTGCACTTGAGCAAATGTTTCATGAAAGAAGTCTCACCAAATTCTCTGGAACAACTAAACTTCTCAACAAAGTTTATACCAATGGCTTGATAAGATATATGCAGCCTAAACCTGAAGCAAGCATCTTTTGGGGTGGATGGTTAGCATTTAACAGCTAATTTAAGATATTCATTAATTCTCCCACCCCTACCGCTGATGTTTTAATATTTGCAAATGACTTTTAGAGTAATTACCTGTAAAGCCTTACCTAAAATGTTGGGGTACACAGATTGTGTAGCTGGTGTCGATACAGTGAGGAAGGTAACAGAGTAAAAATTAAACAAAATATATCCTTTAAATATTTAGGGTTCTCAAACATATCATACTCTTTCCTTTTCACAGATAAGAGAAAGCCAAACACCAAAATGCTGGGAATTCAAGGAGCGGCATTCCAGACACTGTGCAACTGAGACAGGCTTTCTATAGGTACCTGTAGTTGCTATTAAATCTAGCCAAGTATCTTTTATTTTAAATAAGAATGGTTTCCCAAGGCCCACACAGAAATCCATCAAGTTTTATGTAGAGAACCCATAGATTAATTTAAGGTTCCTTTGCTGTATCCCAGGATCATGACTATTGTCAGGAACACCATGGGCTTCCTTTGACTTCATGGTCTGAATTCTGATACTCGGTGCAACCTGAAAAAAATCATTCCACAGGTGCCAAAATAGAATACAATGAGAGAGAGAGAGAGAGAGAGAGAGAGAGAGAGAGAGAGAGAGAGAGAGAGAGAGAGAGAGAGAGAGAGAGAGAGAGGGAGGAAGGGATATGTGATATTGACACTGGGCATCATGCATCCAGGGCTTCCTGTATCCAGGACAAGAATACAAACACCACCTAAGAGCAGATGTAGGTAGGGCCAGGAACATAGCCCTCTTTCCCATTACAAACCAATACAACATGCATATTTATTAATTGATTTTATTTTATTTTTATCCTTCCTTTCTTCCAAGAGCTCACAGCAGCTTTCATATCCACATAACAACTCTGTGAGGTAATTGAACTGAGGAAAGGCAGCTGCCTCAAACTCTTCAAAGTTTCCATGGCTAAGGGTGGACCTGAACTTGGGTTTCTAGAGTTCTGGTCCAGTATCTTAGTATGAACCCATACCAGCAATCTATAGGAGTTTATCTTTGACTTGATACCCTAGGGCAGCATTTAAGGAACCAGTAAGGCTGGTTCCTTACTGTTTCTAGACAGCCTTGTGGAGCTAAGACTGAATGTGTTTCAGCATAGATGGCCACCACAAAATTGTATATTGTATATTGGCTTCTGGCCAGCCTGGGCCAGGACTAAGGCAGAGGGGCCATTCCCTCACTGTTTCCAGGATGGCTTCGCGGGCCACATGAAACCACTTCATGGGCCACATCTGGCTCCCGGCCTTGGGTTTGACATGTCTGTTCTAGAAAGTGACATCAGTACATCTTAAAATTGCCAAGTTGAGAAACACTGCCCTAGAGAGAAGCACAAAATAGAAATCACTCCTTAAGTGCAATAATTTCTTAGAAAACTATATCAGGTAATATCTTGCTTGCTTGCCCTCGCAAAGAGTGGCATTGGGGGAGTGATCCTTTCAGGACAGCAGATAAAAGAACAATAACAAAAGGCACATAGGATCACATAGCAATCTTACTAGACATGATTGTGAAAGCAGAAATATGCTTCAAAGAAAAAGTTAATTTTCTGCATTTTTTCACCTTAAAGCTCTTAATCTTCCAATTAATCTCAGCTTGAATTGCTAGGGCAACATGTAGCCAATCACCCCTGAATCCTTAGGTGGTTCACAGTCTCTCAAAAGAAGGGCTGCCAAATTGCAACATTTAATATGTCAAAAGGAAAATTCTTTAGCTAATAAATACTCTTATTCAGTGAAGTTGATTACCTTAAACAAGGTCTATCTAAATTAAATCACATAAACTTTAGCCTTCTTTTTTTTTTCCAGCCCCATCCATCTTTGGAGCATACTCACTGTTGTACCATTGGAAGGCAAGTGTGAGCCTCAGGTAAGACAGGTTATGCAGCCCTGATATAATTAATTCACACAATTCTTATGTCTTGACAAGGCCACTGCCCACCATTTCCCCACAGAAAGGTATTATCTTTTAAAGTAGGGTTTTTAATCTCATTTTAGAGGGCTAAATGTATTAGTGTGTGACAGCAACAAACAATGAAGTTGCTACCCCAGATTTACTCAATATTATCAGGAACACCATCTTATTTGATTCTCCACTGCATAGAAAGGGAGAGGAAATGAAGTTTTGTGCAAATAATATTGGAACTTTTGGTTGGTACTACTGTGGATACTATTTGGGGAGCTGTGAGAAAATCACCCACTGAGTTTCATTTGCTGCTAAATTCTGATTTGGAGGATCAATAGGAGGAAAATCTAAGAGCATCAAATTGTGGAAGTCGAGTCCACAAGGTGAGGGCTTAGAAAAGAGTAAAAGGAGGATGCTATATCAACACCTATACCAAAACAAATTAAAGTGAACAAATTTGTACAGGGTGGAGGGATAGTTGGCTTGTTTTTTTGTATAATGGACTTTAGAAATATACCATGTTTTCAAGGCAACTGTTCACTCAATAGTTCAGTGTCATTTTAATTACTCTCCTATGGCGTGTTATCCGATTCATGCATCAGTGTGCTGATTGTTAATTATGCAAGTAAGAGCTGTAATAAGTTCCAAACTTTTTCTTACGTGGATACCCCCAAAAGGGAGAGAAATTGCCTCTTAGAGGTCTCCTTGCTGGCAGAAGATTTGGCAATAGGTTCAATGAGAATAACTTATAAAGGAGCTGAAAGAGTTTCGGTTTAAGAAGATCCTGTAGGGAATTAGCTCTCAGACACAGGATTGGGTCTTGTGTTATATTTTTTATATATACAATACAGGTGACAAGTGTTTCTACAATTCACTTTAGTCTTTCTAGTAGCTTTTGTCCTTTCTCCCCCCCACCCCATAAAGTGATAATGGTATTCAGTGCTAGGCAGCAGCTGCAACAGCTGAGGTAAACAGAACAGACAAAATGGTGATTGAGACATTGGGTCTAAAGCAGGGGTGTCAAACTGCCGGCCTGCAGGCCGGTTTCATCATGCCGAAGCCGCGCCCACCCCATTTCCAGCAATGCAAAAAAAAGTTGTGATACATCGTGATACGTCATGTGATGTGGCTAGTTTGACACCCGTGGTCTAAAGCCCTATTCCATGTGTGAATGTACACTGGCTTTAATGGTATCCAGAGGGTGAGGTCAAACAGGCAGAGTGAAGTGGCGACATCACAGTTAAAGCCCTGCCTGTGTGTGTGTGTGTGTGTGTGTGTGTGTATGTGTGTGTGTATCTGTATATAAATACATATACACACACACACACAATAGGCAGGGCTTTAACTGTGATGTCACCACCTCCCTCTGCCTGTTTGACATTACCCTGTGGATACCATTAAAGCCGGTGTACATTCACCTGGAGTTGTCATCACTGAATAAAAGAACTACTTCTCAGTTTATTTGTTATTCAGACTTCTGAGTTATATAAATATCTATGGATTTTTGAGTCACCCCTTTTTATTGCTTCTTGTCTGTTTAGTTGACTCACAATCGCCACAGAGACTGACATGGTAGTAGGAAGTACCAAGCTGCTCATTCTTTAAATAAATCTGAAGTTGACCCTCAAGCAAAGTCACCACAGCTTTAATTCTTCTGCTTCTCTCTCCCCAGATACTAATTTAAACTATTTGCGTCAGTGCACTAGGCAATTTATATTCCATATCCTTCTTACTCTTTGCATGAAATATCTCTGTTGGAATTCCTGTTTATTCCTCATTTCAGTTGTTACCTTTGTTTTTGGAAACAGCAGGCTTCAGTTAATTAAAACAAATTTGAATACAGATACATTTACTAAATAGAAAACATTAGCAAATTGAAGCAATCTTTCTTAGCAGCAAGATTCTGAAATCTTATTAATAAAGTTGGACAAATAATAATCTACACATACAGCCTTATATTCAGGTAATTATGAAAAAATGAGGAGGAGAAGGAGGAGGTGGAGGTGGAGGAGGAGGAGGAGAATGAACTTTTATTATTGTCACATATTGCTAGGTCACAACATGCAGGTTAGGGGTTAACACAAGAAAATTGGACGTGGCAAATTAACACGGAAAAAATGATTGTATGGCAATATAATTATATTCCAAGATCTATGCTCATTCTAATTTATAGTAATTCAATCATTAATGAAAACAAGTTCTTGCTTTATGTTTCCTATTCATAATGCTGTGAGAAGTCAATGATTCCATGCCTATAAAATGCTAGATCATAAATGATGTAATTCTTAATAGATCAAAGATATTCTCAGCATGGATTGTCAGGTTTGAAAGAAGTACACAGTTGATCAAATTGGGTCAAATATAAATAAGATAAAGTTAACAAGGGTATCACACATCTAATTCAAATTTGTCCAGATAATTAAAATAAATAGATATTAACTAGGGAATATTACTGACCTTACTGCATTAATTTTAAAATGCCACATTTATTGTTGAAAGCAGTAATCATGGATGAAATTTTAAGATGACAATATTTTCCTACTTAGAAACATATATTTTAGCTGTGGAACTGGATGGAATAGTTTATTTCAATTAAGAATATGTTACCGGTATTTCAAGTAATCTCTGAATGGCTTTTTATTCTCATCTGGTATTTTAATGGTAAATTTTATATCTGAGTGCATTGTCCTGATTTTATTAGTTGGGCTCACATACTAATGTACTAGGGAACAATAAAGAACATTTATGTATTACGGATGATATATTTAGTCAGTTGTGGTTACACATAATGATACTGGGTTTTTCTGTTTTTCTTTTTGATACTTTCAATTCAGTATTGATTCCTGGCAACTATCTGAACAAATCCCTGGCATGATTTTTTTAAAGTGGTTGTCCGTTGCCTCCTCCCAGCTGACTTTGTACTTAAGGCAGTTCTAGAACTCACAGTCTCCCAGTTTCTAGCCTCCTATCATTACGTACATAAGACAAGTTCTCTACAGTCAAGCTAGTTCCATTTTACTCTAGCTCCTCCCCCACTCCGGGATCTCTTCCCAAATTATGGTTTGATAATTTTTTGCAAGAGACTTTTAAAATGTTGTACACCAAATGGGGTTATCTGGAACCCTAAGATTCTACAAGAGATCACTAGGAATTTTGTAAGAAATCACGACTGAAAAGAAGTAAACAGAATTTTAAAAAAAAAAACTTAGTGCACCATGCAATGTTAGCATTACATGTGTGTGAATTTTTATGCATTACAACCAGCTACCAGCTGTCACTTTGCTGTTGTTGTCAATATAATAAAACATGGATGGTATAGATTAGCAATAGATTATGTTGTGAAATTTTCATATTTTTGCTATTTTTTTTATTAAAAAGTTTTTATTTTCCATTTATTCATACAAAATGCAATTAAAATAAATTCCTAACCATTGGTACCGCCTGCCCATTCCCCCCAGGCTGCGTCCACCCTCTCTAATCCTTCCCTACTTCCCTCCTCTTTCTCTCCTCCCCTCCTACTCTCTTCCCCTCTCTTTTTGCTATTTTTATGTAAGGTTGCTTGAGATATGAAAATTATTTCAAGAATTCAAGAGTCAAATAGTTGAGGTAGCTAATTATATAGACTTCACTTAGAACAGATAGATACAAAGGTTACATTATGTTACCATGTATAGGATTCTCTATGACTTCCACCATCCTTCTTTGAAGAGGGAATAATTGTTTATTTGTAACATATGCACCTCTATAATTAAAATCTGTATCTCTCTTCTCTGAGATCTTAAGTGAACATGGAAAACCCCTTGAATATCAGGAACTAGATAACTTCTAAAACTAATATAGCCATCAAAGTCCAAAGATCTGTGAATTTAATTCCTGGCAGAGGGTTTAAACCCCCAAAAAAGTTATTGCAAAAGAATATCTCTAAATAGTATTTATCGCTAAATCAATTGTGCTCTCTCTCTCTCTCTCTCTCTCTCTCTCTCTCTCTCTCTCTCTCTCTCTCTCACACACACACACACACACACACACACACACACACACACACACACATACACACACAAAAAAAAAACACTTGAATCAGTGTTGTCTCCTGACAGTTGCCTGGACAAGTCCCCACAGGGGTTTTTAGAAAATTCTGGAAGGGTTGAGAGAGAATGATTAGCCCATGATCATCCATCTGGCTTTAATGCCTAAGGTGGGACTAGAACTCACAGTCTCCTAGTTTCTAGCCTGGTGTCCTAACCAGTATACCAAACAATGAAAGCAAATTAATTGCTCTCATTAATCATTTTATCTTCCCAAATTAATGAAAAGCAAACAAAATGCATTTCCTAAGTAACATTTGTGGAGAGAGGTTATCATTCATGTCCCTATTCTAAATGAAGCTTTGTAACAGGAATATTAATCTTTCCAGGACCTAATGGTTGCAATAATAGAGTAACAGTCTCAACTGAACAATACTAAAATAGGATTGTGTTCAATAGTGACTCCTAGATATTGGAGCAATGGTTTTTTTTTCTCTCTTTTTTTCAGAGAAATACAGAAACTAGGCCTCAGTTCTGGAAGTTCATGTGTCCTGTCAAAATAGTTTTTTTTATTTTATAATTTCATTTGTTTACTTCTGTTTTTATTTTCAGGTCTTATCAATAATCGATAAGCAATATGAATACTGCAGAACATATTTGACTCATTAACAAATGCAGCACAGAATGCTCATTGTTTACAGGGCTACTGGGGACCATTCTCGCCTTATACAAATATTGTAACATTAAATACAACAATATTACTATACTATACTATTAAAATATAAAAATATTATTATGAACATCCTCCATATTCTTTCTTTTTTAAAAAAAATAACTGTTTGGATTGATCTTTCCAGAAGGCCTTTCTATTGATGGTCATGTGGGATTGATGTATGCAGCCACAATTTCATTAAAATGAACCAGCCCTTTGTCACTAATGATTTCTTAGGAAATTCCATACTTCACAAGAACTGCCCTAGGCCTTTAATCACTGAAGTACAGGTAGTACTCGTTTAGTGATCATTCAACTTTACAACGGCACTGAAAAAAATGTGAGTTATGACCATTTTTTACAGTTACGACTGTTGCAGCACCCCTGTGATCACATGATCAAAAGCCAGATGCTTGGCAACTGGTTCATATTTATGATCATTGCTGTATCCCAAGGTCATGTGATCACCTTTTGTCACTTCTGACAAGCAAAGTCAGTGGGGAAGCCAGATTCTCTTAACAACCAGGTTACTAACTTATCAACTGCTGTGATTAACAACTCAAGCAAGGAAGGTGGTAAAATGGGGCAAAACTCACTTAACAAATGTCTCGCTTAACAACAGAAATGTTGGGCTACGTTGTGGTCATAAGTTGAGGACTACCTGTACTTGCAAAGTATGGAATATAAAAAGACAAAATCTCAATTGCAAAGAAATATAATCCCAAACTATTAGAACCATTTTCGAATTACACGTGGGAGAAAAAAATAGTGCCAAACATCTTGTGTACCTACTTACAGAAGTAGGTAATATTGCACACTCCAACTATTGCCAACATTAACACTTTTAAGCAGGTGAAGCAGTTTGTACTGACACATTTTGATTGACCTGTAGCCAGATCAGGATGGCTCGTGCCCACTACTTACACTTTTCAATGTCTAATTGACTTTTACGGATTTTTAGCAGCCTGTCTTGCCAGAGGCTCTTGAAAATGACCACTTTCTATTGAACGTGAAAATATCTTGAAAATAACCACTTTTCTAATATAGCCTTCCAACCTTTCTCATGTGCTGATATTGCAACTGCAGTATGGTAAGGAATTTCCATGTCTCAATGTGTCATAGTCTGAAGGTGTCTGAAGGTGGCATAATCAGTTTTGAAGGTGACTGTCAAGCCCCAGGCTATGATGCAGGAAGCAGGATTCATAGATTTCAATAAGAAGTTTTAATGTAAGAACTGAGAGCAAGATATAGCATTTTGGAAACTGCAATAGGAACCTCTAGCCTGCATTTATTAGTAAATCCATAAACACAGAATGTCTTTCAACATTTATTATCTCTTCTTCTGGTGCTTGATGTAGCCTGGCCTAAGTGAATATTTATGAGATAAAGTACTAATGAACTCCTCTCCTATCTATTAACTGTTAATATGTAACATGCCCCTCATTACTTGCCCAGCCTTCCCACTCACAATGATCAACACTATTGCACCGTTTATTATTGGAGTGGCATTGATACCATCATGAATAAATGCCATTTTTTTAATTTTGCAACATTAACATTTACAAGGATAGCCTTATGCAGTACCAGGTTAAGTGAGGTGGCCCACATCCCAGGCAATGAGAAGAGAAAAACAGATGGTTATGTTATTTATTATGGTATGGTACTGCTATTGTGAAGGAAATATCTCGTGAGCTTTTCTTTGTCTCAGTGGCAAAATTAATTTGTCTGGCACTGAGAATAATTTTGAGTGGAAATATTTGCTGCTCTGTATCAGGCAGAAAAGTGTCTTAGTCCAATCTCAATCTACTTTATAATTTTGTAATGTACTACACCGAACCGCTTTATATTTGGGGTCAAGAAGAGGGCATGTTTTAGACATAGCTGTAGATCCCAGAATATACATCTGTGTGCTTAGTTATATGGTTCTATCTTTAGTCTATATATATGCTGTAAGAAAGGGAAGTGCTGAACCTTTTGAACAGCTGAACCCCAAAAATTCAAAACTAATTATTCACTGTAACTTTTCTTTGGGGGTTGTATGAAAAAACGGAGACATAAACTATTGTGTCGAGCTCAGTCCTACATGATAATAAGCGTTTGAAAGTGAGAGATAGTAAAAAAAAAAAAAAAAGAATGTTATATTATGGAAAAATATAAGGACTTGTTATTTTTATTTTGGAGACATTACACACTCGACTATGACTTTAAAATCATAATTTTGCCTAGGCAATTGTTTTCTCTACGTCTACATTAAAATAATAAAGCATTTAAACTCAGTTTGCGGGAATCAAAAGTATGTTTCCCAAATGATTTATATTTTCTTTTCTGATCCAAAATAATGTTTGCTAATTTGAAGGGAAGAAAAGGGAGTCCCTAGTTTCAGTTGATCATAATATAGGAGTAACAAATGTCTTGACCCTGGTGTTAAATATAAAATTTCAGGAGGAAAGCTGCCTCTTTTTCCTCTTTGATCATTGCCATGGAGGCCCAGTTAATTCTGACATCCGTGTTCCATCTCCATCCAACCAGTGAGTAATGTAAGTTGCCCTTTTTCTTTTCCTCATGAAATTCAGGCTACCGAGGTCATTTTTCAAATGAGCTTTCTTCTCACAATTGATTTTCAGCTATTCTTCAGTTGGCAACTATTAAGAAAGAACCTTTTTTTCCCAGTGATGTTAGTCACATCAGGGCCTGTAAGTGACAGTTGGCTCTATAGGGACTTGGAATAGGTGAGGCAGCAGTTCATAGAGTTGACATCAATTTTTCTTGATGTGACTGTCTTCAACCTGACAGAACTCTGGTTAAAAGTGTCGACACCTAGAAAATATGCCAGGCCGGCAAAAAAAAGGGCAATATCAGGCTGTGGCCCAAGAGATCTACCACATTTTTAATATTTTATATAGATCCATTCAACAGTGTTTATAATATCACATTAAAATTTGTAGTATAATACATAGATAAAATTGTCTAGGGTTTTTTGAAATCTCAAAACATATTGTCTCCAATTTATTCCAGAGGAAGTACTTCCAAACAACTATCTTAAAATTAAGTTGAACAACAAATATACTTTTTAACTGTTTTATTGAACTATCATTAACAATATCACATAACTATATTAATATACCGTAAATCTAAAATAGATATATAGAAAATATATATAGAAGATACATATAACCCTCTACTTCAGTGTAAATAAAGAGACAAATACTGTAACACTTCTAGTTAAAAATGCAAACAATAACAAGATTTGGAATAAATCAGGATAATTTAAATTACATTAGTCCTTCAATGTGATGATTGCCCAGATCACTCTCTGAATGTTTCTTTGTTTATTCAATTTATTATCATCAACTAAATAATGCAAAAGGAAAAGGAAAATGTGCCTTATAAGTGGAGTATAATATAAAAGCCAAACAGAAAGGAAAAAGGAACTATTTTATTTTTAAATTCAGAAACAAAATATTTATGTTGTTAGATTAGAATCTGATTTCTGATCTTGAAATCACTGTAACAGAATTTGGCCACTGCCAAAGGTATAGAGTTGGTGATCAATAGTTAAATATAAAAACAATCTGCATGTCCTGGGAAGTCTATTAAAGTGTGATTATACCTATTTTCAATATCTCAATGCCTATAAAAAAGGAAATATTAAAAAATGACTTAAGGATTTGACCTTTATAAGAGATTCTTTTGAATTTTCTTTTCAGACAGTAGTGGACAAGATACCATACCAAGCCAGAGTGGAGATTTCTATTTCTATATGAAATAAATGCAAATTCCTGATTGGGCAGATAGCAAAATTAAAGAGAAATAAATGATGCTGATAACATATTGATGCCTGAGGTAGTTTAAACTCCTGGAGATTGCCTACGTGAGTCCCTGCAGTTTTCTTAGTGGATGATTTTCAGAAGTGATTTTCCATTACCTTGTCCCAAAAGAGCAATCATGATCTGGATGACTGAGAATCTCCATAGCATTTACCACTGCCTTTTTCCTAGGGCTGAGAGAGAATGACTGGCCCGAAGTCACCCAGCTGGCTTCATGCCTAAAATCTCTCCATTTCTACTTTCTTTGTGGTCTCTTGGTTTATAGCTTGGTTCCTAAACTGCACCATAAACTGACTTTTAATTTAATATAACTACTGTAAAATAGCAAATACATTAGCTAGTTAATTTTGAGAGGAGTGTCGGGAATGGTTTGTTTACAAAATCACTTGAAATCAAATTATAGAATATAGTATGAGTTATGGTGGCACAGTAGTTAGAATGCATTATTGTAGGCTCTACCCACAGCCAGGAGTTTGATGCTGACCAGCTCAATGTTGATTCAGCCTTCCATCTTTCCAAGGCCAGTAAAATGAGGACCTAGATCAGTGGTTCTCAACCTTCCTAATGCTGTGACCCTTTAATACAGTTCCTCATGTTGTGGTGACCCCCAACCATAAAATTATTTTCATTGCTACTTCATAACTGTAATTTTACTACTGTTATGAATCGTAATGTAAATATCTGATATGCAGGATGTATTTTCATTGTTACAAACTGAACATAATTAAAGCATAGTGATTAATCACAAAAATCACAAAGCCCTGGATTGCATTCATTCATCATTTCATTTCATACATGATATTTATTATTAGTTTCTAAAAGAAGTATCTGGGATCTAGATCTATATGGAGTTCATTTTACAAAAGATAGGTTATGTTTGAGAGTAGTGTTATTCTTCTCATCCAGGTGTTTTTTTTTTTAAAAAAAAAAACAGAATCCACAAAAAAATGAAGATTGAGTAGGGCATGAATTCTGAAAAGCACAAAGAAATGTGTTGGTGAATATGTTGTTGCTTTTGGAATCAAAATAGGGAACCAGGATCTATAACAATTGTGCATTATGTAAGTCTCACATAGGACTTTGAATATTTGGATTTAGCAATATCAACATTTTATGATTCAGTTGAATTTGAAATCAGACAGTAAACAAGAAGTGCTTACTGACAAACCTAACTTTTCTATTCTTGATTCAAATAAAAGCAAATTAACTGACATTAATTTCAAAAATTAGTTGACCGGGTGAATAAGCACTGTAGAAATAGATCCAATTTAAGTAAAATTAAGATTTGAGACAGAATAAAATTATACACAAAAAGTTGTAAGCATGTTATTTAGGATTGAGGGACTGAAATTTGATATACTGCAATCTCAACACCATCCCGGTTATTAGAAAGTAAGTAACTTTCAAACCAATGGGCCTTTTTTACATCTCACAACAGGGCAATGAGGCCCCAAAAAGAAATGAAATGTGACACATGCAATCCAAGGTGTGCTGATAATCAAAATCACAGATTTGGTGGGAAAAAAACCTAACTGAATGAATACTTGTGAAATAAAAACATTGGCAATGCCTGCTCTTACATCCTCTCCCTTCCAACTGAACAGCAGGGAAAATAAAACTGATCTACCTCATTAGGTTGCAAGAAAAGTCTCATGTAAAAGTCAATCATTAAAAAACAAGCAAAGTTGTTTCCGATCCTCCAATCCCACCTACCCAAGTGCCTTATTATTTTTTTCACACACACCTATCCTGCTCTTGTTCCAACCATTTGCTTTTTCTTACAGATTTTAAAACACAGTATAATTTCCAGGACCCATTTCAGTGTCGATCTCAGTTACAAGCAATCTCACGGCCGCCTCGGTCTGGCTGTTGTGATCCTCTGAAGGGAGAAACTTCACCAGCATGCCGGAAGGTGGGATGTTATGGTTCTGGCTAATGAAACACTTCAAAGAACTTCCAGGTATTGATTTCCCTAAAAGTCTTTTATTGAGTCAAAATGTCAGCACAGGCATAATGGAGTCTTTATGCTAAGATCTAAGTTCTCTTCCTCTGAGCAGTTAAATTATCAGCATGTTCCCTCCCTAAATTAGCTGTCATATATCACATTATCCAATTAGTGTGAAGGTCAAAGGTTTCCTTCCTCTTTCTTTCCCAGGCTTTGCCCCCACCCCCTTCTGCTCTGTATTAACCCCCAAAATACCAGACAGTTCTGCATATTGTCAAAGCAAGAATATACAATATTTGCAGCATTGACATGGGACAGGGAGGGGATGGGAAGGCCCAATGAAACCCCGGTTCCCAGCGCTGGGTGGAGACGGGTGGTGCAAGCGGGATACTCCTCTTGGGCATCCTTTTTGCCATTGGGCCAGCTGCCCAGCGAAGGCCGAGGCCTGGCACACGAGCGTGAAGCCTCGGTGGGACAGCGGCAGTCCAGCATTTGCCTGATTGGACACCCTGTCCCATCCCGCCCTGAGAGGAGAGCGACAGTCAGCCTGCTTCGCCCAAGTGGGGGGGAGGGACAAGTCCAAAGGTGGTTACCTTGGAAAGCCTGCAGGAGCCGCAACAGGGGCAGCAGGACATAACAGAGGATCATCCCGCCAGCCCGCTCCTCCTTCCCCTCCCTCCCAGCTGCTAGCCAGCCACGCAGAAGGCTGGCTCTACCTCGCCCAAACTCCCGGAGGTCGACGAGGGTGCTCCTCCTCCTCCTTGAGTTGATTGAAGGGAAAACGAGATGGGTGGATTTCCCAAAGTTTAATGGAAGAGAGAGACAGCGAACCATCTGCTTAACTGTATAGGCCCTATCTGCCTGGAGACGGATAGAGGAGCAGTGTCTCGGTTCCTAAGACCATCAGAAATATGTGTTTTCCAATGGTCTTAGGCGACCCCTGTGAAAAGGTCGTTCGACCCCCAAAGGGGTTGCGACCCACAGGTTGAGAACCACTGACCTAGATCATTGGGGGAAATATGTTGGCATTGTAAACTGCCCAGAGAGGGCTGTAAAGCACTATAACGCCGAAGGTGCTTTTTCAGGAGGCAACTGAACTGTCTTGTTTTTGTTTTTTTTTGAAGCCATTTCACTTCTCATCCAAGAGGTTTCTTCAGCTCTGACTGGATGGTGGGGAATGGAAGGATTTATATTTCTTGCAGACAGCTAGTCATTTGCATTCTTTCAGAGAGTCTTTGAGCCCATTTGGAGGTTTACCTGTGTCCTCAAGGTCACCTGGGTAGCGCAAATGTATCTGGAGCCTTCTTTTGCTGCAGGATGTTTTCTGCCCTGTGTCCCTTCACTGCTAAAGACAGGCGCAGGTTGCCAGGGATGAGACCATGCCACCTGCATACTAAACTGAAGCCCAAATGGCTTCTTCAGTCTGCAATGCCTTCTGAAAATCCATTCATATGCCCTCATCATTCGAAGGGTGCTCATCCCAAAAGGCATAGCCAAATGCCCATGGAGATTGACAGTCATACAGGTCATGGTTGTCCCAAAGGGACCCTTCCAGGAGGCAACTGGACTCCCCTGTTTCTCCTTGAAGACATCTCACCTCTCATTCAAGAAGCCCCCTCAGCTCCAACTGGACAGTGGGGAATGGAAGGATCTACATTCCTTTGCACTACCCAGGTAACCCTA